GAATGCCGTGACATAAATAAGAAAAGAAAGTTTCTAGGTGGAGCCTGGGGGAGACACGAGGTTTATTTATGGTCTGTTTGTTTCTCTTATACTATGGCATAGATGATAGGTTTTTTCCTTAGGGATTCAATTTGCAATATGCAAACTGGCAACTTTTTGTTAAAGAATTGAGCAGTTTAAACCTGATAGAAATCTTGATCAGAAGTGTTCTTTTCACCAGCATAGGTGGAAGATATCCTGGCAATAAATCTAAATATGTTTGCACAGATCCATCTGGCTAGGCAAATGGTTAGCAGGTGACAAATGAAATCAAAATGACAAGTAAAAATCAAAAGCCAGATGACAAATTCTCAGCTGTGATCTGGTTGTGCCTTTAAAAGGCCTGGAAGTAGTCGAATCTCCTTTCAGCCAACTAATCCTTAGCTTCAGTTGGTTGGAGTAGCAGGTTGCGAGCCCATGGTCAACGTTTTACGCTGGGGGGTAGATCAGGTGAGTGTGGGGTGGTCTGTGCCCAAGTAATGATCAAGTGACTGATGGAGACCACGGGCAGCTGGGGTAATTGAGGACATGTGTGACACTGCACTAGACTATGTTGGGACAAGAATCAGAGTGAAAAGACCCCAGAATGGCGAAACTATGACTGTATCTCTGTGACTCTGTCTCTCCTAACCTTCTGGCCAGTTCATGACTGAGAATCTGACCTTTAACTTAGGGGACCTGGGAGACTGCAAGAGATGTGTACTACATCATGTAGTCCGGATCCCAGGGTACTATTTCACATATAGCATTGGAATGTTGACAATAAAATGCACGGAATGTCTTACATGACTTTATTATGATGTAGTGTTATAAACAGTTACCTAAGTCTTTTTTTTTTACTTAAGTGATGCTCTTACAAGGCCAGGTATGGTCCTTTCCTTTTTGCCTTTTATACCTAGAAGAAGCCTGAGATTACAACACTCCTTAGAAAACCATTACATGTGCCATAGCACAGAACTAGAAATGGAGCCCCCGTGCAAGATGTCTAACTGCAGTAGTTTGCATCTTTGGATGTATCTCTAGTTGCTATGGCTGTTTCTTCCCTAATTTGATCACATTATTGCAGATTGTCAGAATAGAAGATAGCCTACAAGAGATTGTTTGTTTATTTTGTTAAGCCGGAGGAAACAAAGCTAATCCTCTGGCAATTATTGATCATAATTGCACAAATGATAAAGTATTTCTGGTATGAAGAACAATGGCCTTCTGTGTGTTGAGAACCTAGTGTTTGTGCCAGAAGTTACTGAAATTATTCTTTGCTTTCCTCTGTGATGAAACCCAAGGATGTTTTCTTTCAGGCAGAGCTTTAAACGATTCACTAGAAACAGCTGTCTCTTCCTTCCACCCATGCCCGTATACTGATTGTATAATCAGCTTTTTCAGTGCACTGTTCAGTAGGATCAATGCTGGTCCAGGCTATTTGGCCAAGATTGATCTAAATGTGCTACTTTGATTTCTTTGTAGATCCTGTTTCATTTTAAAGACTTATAAGGTGTAAAAAAGGATTGCAAAAATTAATAAGATTCCAAATATTTATTTCTATGCTTCAATTTTGGAAGAAATTTTTAATGGTAGCACAGCAAAAAAAATATATTTTTCATCTGTCAGTTTATTTCTGAAGTACCTTCCAACACTTGCATGCCTACATTCAAAATGAGATATATAAAAAAATCTCATTATGAGTCTAGGACTAATTTATTGTACTGTGCTACATTTTTTTGTTACAGCAATGAAGAAATTACCATAACTAGCTTTTCAAAGTACCTATGGACAATGTAAATAGGAATTTATTGTTAACAGTGGTTCTTCATTGCATTTAATTGCCTTGTAGAGTGATCAGAAACAGCAAAGAGCCTGCAGTATACTCAGTAATACTGGCAGGTTCTGAATACTGTGTAATTCAGAAGCACAAACAAAAGCAGGAATATGCTAAATATAGTGGCCCAAATGTTCAACACTGCTAACTAAAATCCTAAGGGAAAATATTGCAGGTGTCATTTCAGTGACCAAATGGCTTATTAGGGATGGGTTTGAATGAGATAACTCTACAGGGGCTGCTTTTATTTTATTTTTTTCTATTGGCTTTGTCGAACAATCTCTTTTTTAACAGTACCATAGTGATTTAAAACTAACCAAACACTTCAGATAGTCATCTCTATGAACAGGAAAGGAAACTGGATAGAAAGCCAAAAAGCCTTATCAGGAAACAGAGACAGATCTCTGCTGGCTGCTGTTTCCTCGGAGACATTATTACCAACAGCAAAACTCCCACAGATTGCAGTGATGCAGCCCCAAACAGTAATGCAGTCATTTGAGAAAACCAGTTTAAAGACTCGGTTCAGGAAGGTTGTCTTCACAGGAACTGAAGTGTATTTTATAGTCAGCTGTGAGCAAGGTCAGATTTCTGTCAGCCTGCTATTAACAGGTTTCACTGCAATAGCAAAACCAATGAAGCCAAGGAAGGAGGCAAACCTAGACCTCAGCTCTCCATGGTGACCTTAGAGCTCACCAGCAGAACTGGAGCCTGTTTCTCCTCCTATAGAATGGGCTTGTCTCTGTCAAATGGATGTCGGTGGCGCATTTCTTCTCCCACATGTCTTTTAAGGGAAAACAAGTAGGTTTTATAAACTGTTTAGTCATCCACTCTACGTTACCGTGCAATCAGGCAGGTAGACCACATGATAATTGAATGAGAGAGGTAAATAATTTAATAAGGAATGTGACTAGAGCTTTTCTGTTAACAGGAGCTAAAAGTTATTGATTACAGAGTGTTCAAGCGTAGCCTCTGGCATCTCATAATTTTCATCATTCAGGATGGACCTTGCAAAAAATTGGGGAAACCAACTAACTGTATTTAATGGGATTTAACCAGTGTTTCCACAAAAAAGTGAATGAACTCAGCTTTTCAATATGCACAGAATTCTGCCTCCTGACACTTTCTTGCCTACCTCCTGTGTGTCATTTGGCCGCATTGTACCTTCTGCTGTAGTGCAGTGTCTGTGTACCATGTGAGAACGTCAGAGCGTACAGTGTATATTTATCCAGTTTATCCAAAGCCTAACATTCCCATCTCCCATGTGCTACTGGAAGTGGAGGGAAGGCCAGAATGGAAGCAAATGACCGCACAGAACTATGTGGCAATAAGTTTGCACCAGGTCAGTGGGAAGTGGGGAGAATGAGAGGTCCTTCTCTTCACAGTCTGACAAGCGTAAAGCAATACAGCATAAAGTTGGAGAAACAAACCTCTATAAATAAAATTTCTTACTCAGTGAAAATCCAAAGGGTAAATAGCCTTATGGAGGTCAGTATTAAAAAAAAAAAAAAGCCAAAACTCCACAAAAACTAGGAAAAAATCCAGGAAAAAAGAAACTGGTTAAGTGACAATAGCATCTTTTCTATCCAAATGTATTTTTTATTTTGTCAAGACCATATATTTTGTTTACTGTGTGATTCCAAGGTAAGTTACTTATACTTATAGTGTTGTGAGGACCTGTACTGGTATTCACTGAAATCAATATGTGTTTTTCATTTACTTCAATGCACTTTAAACAGAACATTTGCTGGAAGAAAAAATGCACCATTTTGGACGAGTCTGATATGCATTAATTTGTACAGTCTTCATTTGTAGGTCTCTCCTCAGAGTCAAGATGTAGCTTTTTTGGAGAATATGAGTGGAGTGAGCTGTTTCAGCATGTTCTGAGTAAATCAGACTCCAAAAGTAAGTTTTTGCCACATCCCAAGCAAGTGAGAGTAGTGTGAAGTACCGAGCACTCTGAAAAGATCTCTCTTTGCTAATGTTATGTAGTGTGTTCTTAACTGGAGGGAATGAAAAA